AAAAATCGATTGTTTATCGAGTCGTTTGGATTCGGGCAGTTAAATGGTTTTGGTATGAAATTTGATAGTACTTGCTAACCTTTTGTTGGTTAACAAGTTTTATATTAAGTTGAGACTTCATCCTTTCTTAAATAGGCATCATATTTTATACAAATTCTCATTGATTTTATAAATACATATCATATTCTGTTTCATGTTTAGCCATACCGATCTTACTAGTTTGTAGCCGATTTGTTTATAAGCGGTCTGGTTCATTAAACGATTCGGTTTGCCAGCGGTTCGATTTATATACAGTTCGGTACAAAGACTACAAATGGGTCGCGGGTTGTTAACGGTTCGGTGTAAACGGTTTTATCTCGGTTCAAAAGGTTTCGGATTGAAAGCGGTTTCGAGTTAGAAACATCACTGTGAGAAATGAGTCAAATCACCACAAGTCCATGAGATACAAGTACAAAATAATGTTATTGGAGCTGCTGCATGTTGGGCTCTAGAACATGTCATACATTTTTAAACAAATGGAAATATAACAAGGTTGTACATGACTACATGTAACATGCCTGCTCTCTTGAACCCTTCTTCTTGGTACCAGTTTTTTAATGAATTAATTGTATAGCTGTTAGAAATATAGGAAAATATATTATTGTGATATATTTTCCATATAGATCTTATGATATTATATTTAGGATAATAATATATCTTAGTAATATTCTGAGATAGATTTATGGAACTTTATATGATAGAATTTATATTGTGTAGGTTATCTTTTGTAGGCTATAAATATCAGCCAAGATCATCAATACAATTCACTTCATTCTCACATAAATAATTTGTCATGGTATCAAGAGCAGGTTAAATCTTGGGACCGTTCACACACATTCTCCCCCTGTCGATGGGTTAGAATATTAAACCCACCGGTGAGATTCATAAATTTGCTTCTGCTACGCAATAGTATTGCTCTTTGAAATTTCTATTTTTTTATTTAATCTTTTTTTTTGGAATAAATACGTGGGTTATTATTGGTGTATGTGATCAATATGAATGATCATATGTGATTTGGTAAGGTTGTACTGTTTGAGTGTGCTTCCTCCATTATTGCATCTCCATGGAGATTAAGAAAAGCCACGTTTGGCGTATTGTTTATTATTTAAAAAAAAAATTGCAAAAGACCACGGACACCAGCGAAGGGCCTGACATAAGAAGATCACGGACACCAGCAAAGGGCTGTGGCAAAGAAGATTACGGACACCAGCAAAGGGTCGTGACAAAAGACCACGGACACCAACAAAGGGCCGTGACAGAAGACCATGGACACCAGCAAAGGGCCGTGGTAGCAAAAGTAAAAAAAAATTGAAGGCGACATCACAAGAGTGCATCTCGACTTCAACAAATTAAAGAATTTTCAATCGTAACGTTCGTGTTACTGCCGTTACGATTGCGGGAGGGTGTTAGGAATATAGGAAAATATATTATTGTCTTTTTCTTTAAACCATTTTTGCACATTTTTCAACAGATGGAACTATGCTTCAACTAGCTCATTTCCATTTCTTCTAGAGTTTTGCTCATTTCATCTGGAATTATATATGCATTTCAATTTATTCCGGATCATTTTCGGTTTGACATATATGGATTTTGTTTAATTTCTTAATCATCGGGTTTATATATATTGAGAATCAGGTCTACTTGGGTTGGGTGCGGCCGTGCGGTTTAAGTTAAAATCTCTAATTCTCAATTAAGCTACGGAGTACTTTTTTTTTCAAACACTCAATTAACCTACTTCGTACATCTATATAATGTAGTTTTAGGTCAATTGAGTTAAGTTGGTACAAGTCAGCAGATTATTATTAGATCTTAAATAGGTTAGTTTTTAAATGATGTAGACTCTTAACCACTTCATGAATTATAAATCAATAATGCGGACCAAGGAAGTGACAAGTCTAGTCTTCGGATCGTGATGGGACTAGATTAATATGCCTTTCTTTGGTTGAAGGGCCGAATATGGGTTTGGAGAGGTTGCCATAGAAAATAATTTAAGGTCTGTTTTGAGTCAAACTGAACTGAATATTTTTTGAGAGAATGAAATTAATAACTGAACTGAATTGAACTAAATTGAAATAAATTGAACTGAACTGAAAATAAGTTGAAGATAACAGTCCCTTATTACTACTATTATACATAGTATCTTGCTAAATAATGTATTTTTTGCCAACTTACTAATAGCAGGTTAGCAAGGAGCGCGAGTAATTTACTTAATCTAATAAAGGGTGATAGAAAAAGGAGCTCCATCCAATATTTCAGCTATCATAGTGATTTAGAGAGCTAAACAAGTAAACATGTACTTGCAATGTATGGGAATAAATCGAAAATGCTTCCCAAAGTGGCAACTTAAGCATGTATAAGCAAGAATTATAAACTTATTACTTGAATATTTGAACAAGACTTATACTTAATTACTTACTTTGTTCTTTTTTACTTGATCTGTTTCTTTTATTACGCTTGCCAATGTAAAACTTTAACGATCAATAATTTAAATTCTCCATAAGTAAAAATATAAAAGTTATATATTATAATAATACTTATTGAGACGAATCCAAAAAAATCATACATGAATATATTACACTAAAATGTGAAATTTAAACATTTAAATATGTTCTAAATCAGGTACAAAACACAATCAATTATTAAAATGACTCACCGTGCTATTATAAAAATCAAAGAGTATTCCGTACGATATTATTAGAGAAATGTAAAAATGTCAAATGTGAATCTAATTCTAATTCCTCATCAAAAAAACAAAATTACCCAAATGTCAATAAAGCAAAAATTTGGTGCAGTTGACAACAACGAGTACTGTAAGAACTGACTTTCTTCACTGCTTTTTGACAGGCTGAGGCCTACCTTATGCAAGAGCTCGTGCAACAACCCCCACTATTAACAGAAATCATTAAACCAACAATTAGAACCAACATGTTATGCATTTGTGCAACCCAAATCATTTACTACGGAGTAATATCACGGTAATCCCTCCGTCCCTAAATTACATTCCTCTTTGAAAATTTACACGGGAATTAAGGAAGAAAGAATAAGATAAATAACAATAATTAGATAATGCAATGGGAAGTACAAAGATAGATTAGTTATTTCATGACATGTCATCAATCCTTTGCAAAAAAAAAGGACCAATCACATGCTCCTAATTGAAAATTTTTAACCAATCATATTCATTGTAATTTTTCACAAGGATTATGAGTGAGATTAGGTAAGGATGAGTGAGAAAGCATTAAATATAAAACAGAAAAAGAGAGTTGATTTACTAAAAAAAAAACTTACCAAAAATAGAAAGGAAGAATGTAATTTTGGAATACCAAAAATAGAAAGGAGGAATGTAATTTAAGAACGGAGGGAGTATTAAATAAGGACATTGAAATTTATTTGATTTCTGCAAATTTTAGTAAGATATTACTCCAGATCTAGCTCGTCTTAAAGAAATTATTGTACTTGAAATTCAGATAATTTACTACTTTTGTATGTACGTATCAGTATAAATATAGCTAATTATTAACAAACAACTTCATAGTTGATTTAAACTACTCGTACATAATTACAATTTGTCAATAAATTTATGTAAAGTGTAAAATATCTTTGTATGGCTACTTATGAAAGTAAAGAATGTACATGTAGTGTAAAAAGTAAAATGTCTCTGTATTACTACTTGTGATGCTACGATAGTGTTTTGTTGCCCACACAACAGAATAAGTAGAGGTATAAATAACCTTAATAAAACCAATGCAAAATGATTTTCCACCCCTATTTACATATTGAAAAGGCCTTTAACCTAAAATAAAACTTGAATTACCAAAGGTCTTGAGCATCCTAAATACACACCTCTTAAAGGCTTTTCCCTCGCTCCCTCTATTATCGCGGAATATCTCTATACCGGACACCTTCAATATCTACTCAAAAATACCTCATTGAAAATATACTTGTATGTGACTAATGTGAGCAATGACCTTAGCTTGTTTGGTAAAGAGCTTTTTCAAAAGCTTTTAGCTTATTAAGTCCTATTAGAGGTTTAACCATTGAAAAAAGCTAATTTGGATGTTTGGTAAATAGTTTGTTGAGAGATGTGAGTCCAAAAAGCTCTTTTAGAAAAACCTGATTATAGGAGGTTCTGAAATTAGCTTGTTAAATAATTAGCGTTTTGGGCATTAAATAAACTGAAATAACTATTTACCAAATAGTTTTTGCACAATCAGCTATTTACCACTAACTAGTCAAACTTAGTTAATACTCCCTCCATCCCCTTTCTATTTAAATGTTGTATTTTTTGACATTATTATTCTCTTTTTGATGAGTTGTCATTTTTTTCATTTACTATTTTTGTACTTTTAACGTCAATTCCCAATACTTTCTCTCCTTATCTCTTCAATTATTCCTAAGTACTTTTTATTTCTCTCTATCTCTCTCTAACATCACATGCACATATGTACTTTTAATCATTAGTTTTAAAAAATTTACAATTTTCTCAATTTTCGCGCAAAAACTAAAAGAGACTTTGTATTAAGGGACGGAGGGAGTACAACTAACTACATCAATCAGTTACGTGACTAGGTTATTACCAAATAGGGCCAATAACAAGTTAGGGCCTTTTCTCATACGTTTATTTTCAGTTCATTTCAGCCTCTAATTTCCTTCTCTTATAAAATATTCATTTCAATTCAGTTCAGTTCAGCTCAATTCAGTTCAGTTCGGTCTATGAGAACAGACCCTTAGAGATTCATTATCCATTACGAACACATGTTACACAATTTGAGATGAAGGTGACTCTCCAAAACAATTAAAATTTTATTGAGAATTACTTAAGAACTAGAGTTCTTGAAATCCTTATTACTTCGTATTGGGGGATTTAAGATTTCATGGAGAACTACATAAGAGCTTTAGAGTTATTGAAAACCTATTTATTATTAGGGGAATTCAAGCCTTAAAGGCACAATTGTTTCTTGATTTTCTCTATTTTCATGTAAAAATCACTTAATGAGATACTCCACGAATATAATTTCAATATGTAAATCATTAGTGCTTTAATCACAATTCATGAAAATAATACTACTCCACAGTACGAGTAAAAAAAAAAAAAGCAAAGCCGGAGTTGATAGTCACAAAAATCGAGTGTAGCTTCCATCCTAGGGAAACCTAACCAAAGCAATTAACAAAGACTACGACTCCAACAGGCAACACCCCCTTCTCTTTTTCTCATTTCTCCGTAGAAGAAAAGTAAAATCCCTCCGTTTTCAACATTTGTGTTCCCCTCTTCTCTCTCCTTTTTTTAAATCTTTGTTCACGTGAGCCCTTTCACTCTTTCTCTCTCTTCAAAACCATACTTCCCCTTCTTCCTGTAATTTAAGATTAGATCTCTTTCCTTCGATTTTCATGCCCACATTACTCCATGCCTCCTTTCTTCATCTTCCTCTTCTTATTACCATTTTCATCAGCCGAGTTTAACCCATATCATCTCCACCACAACCACACCTGCTCAACCACCGTGCAACCACTGCACTGTCCGCCGTTCAACACCACACCACCATACCCATTCTCCACCACTCCCGGCTGCGGCCACCCTGACTTCCACCTTCACTGCTCTCCCAACTCTTCTTCTTATCTCATCATCAACAACCTCTCTTTCTCTCTCCTCAGTTATGACCCTTTTTCCTCTCTCCTCCTTCTCTCTCCTCTTTCTCTCTCCTCCCCTCACAATACCTGCTCTTCTCTCTCCTCTTCTATCCCTCCTCACCCCATTAATCTAACTAACACCCCTTTCAAAATCACTGATACTTACTGCTCTCGTCTTTCTATTCTCAAACCATGTCCTACTCTCTCCTTGCCTGATTGTGAGCTCTGTCCTTGGCATTGCTCTTTGATCAAACATCCGCTTCGGCTTACCCCCGGTTGCGGTCCGTCATCTCAGCCCGCAACCGAACAAGGGTGCCAAAACGATGTTATCGGATATTTGGATAAATTTCTGAAGTATGGGATTCAAGTGGAGTTTGAGCTGACCCATGATGAGTTCTTTAATAAGTGCAATGATTGCCGGTTGAATCGAAATGGGGTTTGCGGGTTCAATTCATCCGACCCGAATAAACAGTTCTTATGTCTTCACGAAAGTATCCTCCCTCCTCCTTCTTTGTGGGTCCAGCACAAGAAGCATATTGCGGAGTTTACATCCGCGGTTGTGCTAATGTGTTTGCTCTGCTTCGTTGGGGTTTCGTTGTTCGCGCTCCGAAACGGGCGTTTCGGAGGCAATGGTGGTGGTAATAATGGAGCAATGTTGGAGGATCCGATGACAGTTTTTCTACACAATCATCGGTCCGCCTCGCTCCTTCCGCCGGTTTTCACATACGAGGAGCTCGAATCTTCCACCAACCGGTTCGACCCGAATAGGAAGATCGGCGATGGTGGGTTCGGGTCGGTGTTTTTAGGGAAGCTTTTCGATGGTCGGACCGTTGCTGTGAAGTACTTGCATCGACACGGGGGTAAAGCCGTCCCAACGAAGTCGTTTTGCAATGAAATCTTGATACTATCATCAATTGAACATCCAAATTTAGTTAAACTTCATGGGTATTGTAGTGATCCACGTGGTTTATTATTGGTGTATGATTACATTCCTAATGGTACATTAGCTGACCATTTACATGGTCCGAATCGGCAGATATCCGGTTCGTTGAGTTGGCCGACACGGGTTGATGTAGCATTGCAGATTGCCATTGCGATTGAATACCTCCATTTTACGGTCCAACCGGCGGTGGTTCACCGCGATATTACTGCTACCAATATATTTGTTGATCAGTATATGCGGGTTCGAGTAGGGGATTTTGGTTTGTCTAGGTTGTTGGTGTGTCCGGAGAAGAATTTATCCGGGGAATTACCCGGATCATCTTCGGGTTGTGTGTGGACTGGACCGCAGGGTACTCCGGGTTACTTAGACCCGGATTATCATAAGTCGTTTCGGTTAACCGAGAAGAGTGATGTGTTTAGTTTTGGGGTTGTGCTTTTGGAACTGATTACTGGGTTGAAGGCGGTTGACCTAAGGAGAGAAAAAAGGGAGGTGGGGTTGGTGGATATGGTAGTAGCTAGGATTCAAATTGGGTTGTTGGACCAAGTTGTGGATCCCACATTGGCGGCCGAAGGGCCTGCTGTGGTTGAGAGTGTTGCGGCAGTTGCTGAGCTAGCGTTCCGGTGTGTGGCCGATGATAAAGATGATCGGCCTGATGCACGGGAAGTCGTGGCGGAGTTACGGCGAATTTGGAGCCGTATCCGTGGGGTTAGAGTTTCTAATTCTAGCGTCGTGGTGGTCCCTGCAGCGGCCGAGGGGTGAGATTGGGAGGGTTGTGTAATGGTTTATTGGTATTAACTATTAAGTGGGTTTTGGATGTTGAGACTCTTCTTTTGTAATTTTGTACCACTATACTAGATCATATCCTTAAATGACTTTGTTGGGGGGTTTTTGGAGGGTTTTGTGATCAATCTTATAATTGTTATGATGGGAAAAGAGATGAGATAATTAGGTTGGATATTTGTATGATGCCACTTTGTAATATATTACATCATCATTATCACCAATTCAAGTGTATTTGATATGATAAAATGGAAAGTTTGTTGCTAAATTTTAAGATTGGGCACTTGATTTGTTCTATTTTTCTACAAAGCACAAAACTAATCATAGCCAACCTTTTGCTTTTGTTATAGATCTTATATTACCCGTAGTCATAGCATTGGTGGGAAATCGAAACAATCAAGACCACCATCGTTGGATGAGCTTGCAACCCCCATAGGAATCTCACCATCTTTTGCTTACTTGGAAACTTTTTGATAGATTTTCCGACTCTTGACCCCTTGGGTTTAGCTATCTGCCTCTTTCTCCAGAGATAGTGGCCAAACTATACCTAAATACTTGAAGACCAATGCGATAGACCAAACTTGAAGTCCTCTTCGGTAAATTAAATACAACTTTGCTGTGATTTTGTCATTGTCGAGAACCCCAGTAACAGCCTGACTAGCTTGTATACACAGAATGAGTACCGCAATGTGATGTATAAACCTGCAAATTTTAAGCCAATTAAGTCTTTATTTAAAGCATGGTATGGATCATTGGTGCGACAACAATGTCAATTGACAATTGTTCACCCTTGATGTCTAAAATGGCTTGTTCGATCTTTACATGTTTCTTACAACCACTTTTATTCACTATTTTACACCATCATATCAATATGCACTCTATGCATTCTTTGAAGGGGATGCATCCCCTTGTTTAACTAAATACATAGTAAATACATACAGCTATTGAAAATATATCCTCTCCAGATGGTTTGCCTTATCAGCTGCTCTCGCAGCTTCCTCCCTGCCCATCATTGAGTATCCTTTCTCCTGAAATACAAGTATAGCAAACATTTCAAATAGCTACTCCTTGCCACAATTAAACAATTTTTGAAGGAAGATACGAATTCATACCAATAGACGCCATAAAAAGGGCACACCATCCCTCGTCTTAAGTCGTTTCTCAATTGCCTCTATCACTACATTAAACATCACACAAATTAAAGGCAGTAAGTCAATAATCCACTATGAAAGCAGCCAAACGTTCTCTGCATCAAAGTCGTACCTTTCGCAGCTTTTCCAGTATTCAGTAGCAAGATATACCAAACTTCATTAAACACATCAATTTGCTCATCGGATGCTCCTATTGCCTTGGAGACATGAGGCATTATTTCATTTCAGCAATATGAAGCCAATAGCATATAGTACTTAGCAATTCAGTACTATAATATCCTAAGGCCTTGAATTCATATGGTGAGCACTAGAGAATGTTCTGAATAATTGGACCAAGTAATAGGCTGTAAATTACCTTATAATCACATGCAACAAAATCTGAACCCAGGAGCTGTAGGGCACGTTCGTCATTACCTCTACCATACTCATATATAGTTTCGGCAAGCTGAACAAACATTGAAATAAGAATCTAATTAGAAAAACGTACATAAATAATGATTGAATCCCAAAGTATCAATTGACATACACAGAGCCCTCTTTGAAACTGCTGCTGCTTCTTATCGCTCATATTTGACACTCTACATAAAAAAATAAAATGTAAGTCAAGTCTCCAAATGTAATTCAACACAATGCACAAAGAAAGGAAAAGATTTCCAAATTTCTGACCTGAGCTTCAAGCCTTTAAGCAACTCTTGTGCCGCAGGAAGCTTATCCGTACATGTTAAAGCCCATAATATGAACAAATCAAGCTGCCATTCCAAGTACCAAAGCGACTAACACAACCAAGAAACAGCAAGTATTAGTTACTCTAATTCTCTTCTGAATATAACATAAGCACGACACTTAGTCTAAGAATATAACATTTCCAAGTAGTTTTTTTAAATAATGTCATAAAAGAAAGACTTTATTAAGAAGGTAGTTGCAAAAAGTTTTGACAAGTTGTTTTGAAACGACAAGTAACAGTAGACATTATTTTCATACACAAATATGGAGTATTAGTCTGTAATAAAGAAATTCCAAAAACCTTGCCATACGAGGCATTAAAACGTTGTGCAATACAAATCTACAAGTCCAACACCTCAAAAATATTTCAAACAACTGCTGTAATTGTATAAGGCTTTGAAAATACACTGCAAAAAATTGGTCACTTTACTCACTTTATCAGTCAAAAGTTCAGCTAAATTCTTCAAACGATCCTCAAATAGAGTTATCTGACCTCGTATATGTAATCTCAATAGTAATCCCAATGCATTTAAATAGACCTGAAACCCGAAAAGAAAAAAAAAAGTATTAAAAAAAAAAACACAAACATGTTGGGAAAAAAATGAGCTTGGAACATATATATGTACAAGTGTCATGTAACATAAGGGAAAATTATTAAACCTCTGGGCGGGTCGCATCAGTTCTATCTATTTCCCTCATTATACGATGGTCATACACATCTAAGACCTTTGCTACTGGAGAATGACCTTCCAAGTAACAAAGAGCAACGTGCCACCAATTATGTGTGTACCTGAAGGCCAATGACTAGTCCTTAGCACAGAATGACAAAGCAAAGTTATCCAATACTTTGTATAATAAAATCAGATGTACAAAGTAGCATTGACAGGATATACTCATGAACGAGATTGCACTACTAACACAATTCATACATGAATGACGAACAGGAACTCCATGAAGGCGAGCAATCTTCCATGAACTGTACAGCTTCAGCGAAACGACATTCATGTTGAAGAACATGGCACAGCTGCATTGACAGAATGTGTTAGCTGATGTTACATCACCATGATACACACAGCACACTAAAAATTGTATCCGACAACAAATTCAGATTGGCACAAATGCAAAATTGAATTCCTCATACACCAAGTCACTTGCTACTAAGCCATAATATGGTCTATGGCCTTACAGGAATGAAACGACAGAGAATTGAACCCAATTGAAGAGAAATGGGTATAGATCCAGTACCATTATGTTGAGGCTTCGACTAGATTAGGCCTAACAGTAAAATGGAAATTGATAAAAAGAGTCAAGTACATATGACATACTGAAGTAAAGGTACTTTAAAATTTCTGAAAAAAGGTGCTAAAAGGTTTGACTCACGCAATGTTGTGCCCAAACATCTTGCTTGTTGATCTCAAGTGCCTTTCTAGCAGCTCTTTCAGCTTCCTCCATCTGTCCGAGCTCCAACAGAGGAAAAGAAAGCATGCCATGAATGTAAGCTTCCTCTTCATTCTCGGGTAGTACCTAAATGAATCAACGAAATTGGTAGCAAAGTTTCGAAGTCAATCACAGGTTCAGGTATACAAGTAGAGTAATCCTGTGTTTTGTTTGATCAGAAACACCAGAGAGACTCTAATGTATTAATGTTCGTTAGAAAAAGAACCTGCTGCACTAGATCAAGAGAAGGATTAGGCAGCCCCATGTAGAAGCAAAGTACTTGAGCCCTCTTCAAGGAGGATAAATCCTTTGGGAAATCCCTTAATAACTGTCAACCAAATATATCAAAGACAGCTCATGAATAACTACTTTTACAAAAACTAACATCACAAGAAGTTTATGCTGCTAAATCATACAAGTACTAATTATAATTCAGATAACTCATATTCCAAAGACGTGATACACTTTGCTTTACATAAATTGCCTCCATTCCTACAATGATACTAACCCTTGCTAAGGCCTTGATCTAGCCAGCTTGGAAGCACTAATGAGCAATTGTATTCAATCTTTAGCCCCAACTCAAAAGTCATATCAAGTATCAACACTATCTGTTTAACAGAGAAGAAATCATATACTCTTTCCGTTTTACTAGTTATTCCATTTGACTTTACACGCTAATTATCCAGTCATTTTGACCATTGTGTGCTATTTATACAAACTTCGTAATAAAATCATAGTTATGTTGGATCTGATTGGATTCATCTTTATAAATATATTTTTAAACCACATAATTTTAATAGTTTAAACAATAAAACAATTAAAGATATTAAGGATTGAAGACAGAATTTTGCAATTAATAATCTATTTTCCTTCTCCAGGGTTGGTTAATGCCAAAACTAATAAATCTCAACAAAATAATCTGAGTATAATTTAGTAAGCTAAACATCATAGCCTTCGTAGGACCACTCCAAAATGTAACGAATAAAAACAAAATCCAAAAACAGGACATGAACAATTGTTAAACAAAGTAACGTTATTTAAACAAATTTCTAAAGACTCAATAAAATCAAACCTTAAAATGGAACTCTAGTGCTACATCATCATCCATATCATCAGAAATCATACACGAAACGGCATCAAACACTGCTTTCTCATAATCTGTTGCTTCATCCTGCATCATAAACCCCAACAAATAAAAAATTACAACTTTAACTCTTAACAATTAGCAAATAATTTTAAAATTAATTATTAGAGTAACAAAATTTTTATTAATTTTTTAAAATACTTACATAGTGGGACTTGGCAGATTGAAGAAATGAAAGAGCTTCAGAAGGTTGACTTGAGAAAGAGAAATAGGCAGCCAAGGTATTCCCTAAAACACAGCTTTCATCATGAACTGGAGCATCCAATATGATTGACCTCTTTCTCCCATAATTCAACACCTTCAATCAAATTAAACATAACCCAATTAATCAATTAACTTCACAACGACACGTGATCAAATCTCATTTACATCACGGACAAAACAAATAACAATTAATTCAAAAATTAATTCCAAAAAGAGAAAGGGATTAATCAATTGAAGAAAACCTGGTCATAGAAATCATTAATAGCAGAAATACAGTGATTAGAAGTAGTATTGACTGGATATCCCCATTTGTCAAACTTCAAAGCTTCTTCTTTTCCCATGATTTTCTCTCTCTAGAAAATTGGATGTGTTTCAGTGATGAATGACGAGAGAGAGTGTTTCAAGACTTGAAACTTCACCGAATGAGAATGATGTTGTAGACTTGTAATTTGGGAATTTTGTTCAGTGTTTTATGTTTGTTGTTGATGGAAATGTTGATATAGGCAAAATTATTGTGAGTGGATTTATACTTCATACCACAAAAAGTTAATTACTACGGAGTAGTTTTTTTAAAATTAAACCCCCCCAAAAAAAAAAAAAAAAAAAGGTACTAATCTAGATATCCTGGCGTTTAGTTTTGCTACTAGTGTCATTTATAGGGTGCTGGGTTGGAGGGATAGAGATAAAAGGGATAATAATGACAGAGGACAACGATGGGAATTGAAAGGCGGGACAAAAATAAATCAGTTTTATCCCATTTTTAGTAAGTATGAGAAATAAATTAGGGATAAATAAAAATTTATAAAACTACCCTTATTAATTTCTATTAGGAATGACAAGTGGGTCGAGTTAAATGGGAGACCCGTCCTATCCCGCTTCCATGGGGCGGGTATGGAGGGAGGTTTGATGGGTGATGGGCGGGTAGGGATGTCAATGGGGCAAGGCGGTGTGGGGCGGATTTTAGTCTTCCCATCCCCGCGGCGAGTCCAATATTCATTCCCATCCCCGCCCCAGCGGGTACAACTCCAAAACCATCCCCACCCCACCCCCCACTTGGATATCCATCCCCACCAAAGACTCGCCTAATCCCTAGCCAAAATCCACCTAATTTCCGTCTCTAAAATACATAATCCTACATAATTAATACGGATTATAATAGAAATAAAACATTCTTAATATTACACACATTTTTGTTTATAATATAAGTGTCGTAGAAATATTATAATTAATATTATATTTCACGTAATTATTTTATTAAATAGTATAAAAGTATGTAATTTTGCTTTTAAAGATGTATAGATGTGGGTATGAGGTGGGTACGAAGTGGGGCAGGGCGAGGCGGGGATGGGGCGGGTACAACTTAAAATCCACCCCCACCCCATCACCCATGACGGGTACGGTTTTTATCCCCATCCCCGCCCCACCACCCGCCAAACCGAGACCCATCCCCGCCCCATTGGGGCGGGTCTCCTACTTGACCCGCCCCACTGACATCCCAATAAGCGGGGATGGGTATAAATAAAATTGTACTTGCTGGGCGCGAGTATGGATTTAGAGTAAACCCACCCCATCACCCGCCTCATTCCACCTTATACTACTTTTTGTATAATAAACATAAAATATTATATTAATAATATTAGCGACGTATGAATTTGCCAAGTACATGAAAAAAGAGGTTTAATGAAAATGATAATACTTCACATTAATGTCATATAATATGTCGTTATGGTAGTGGGTATGAGGCGGGTCTGAGGTGGGTATGGATATCCAATTGGGTGGTGGGGTGGGATGTATATTACACTACTAGAAAACAACCAAATTCCGACGGACACATTATTCCGTCGAAAAAGTCAAAATTTCCGACTAATATAAATGCGTCAGAATATTTGTACTTTTCGACATATTTTTTTGTTGAAAATTACCTTTTATAACGGATAAACATTTCGTCGAAAAATTCCGACGGAATATAATTTTTTTTTTAAAAAAGAAAAAAAAATAAACATCTTTAAAAACTCCTAAAACCCTATACTCTGTTCTGCCTCTTCTTTCTTTCCCCTTCTTCTGTTTGTCTTTCCTCTCCTCTCTCCTCTCCTTCTATCTTGTTCTCCTTCTATCTCCTTTTCGTTCTTTGCTCTCTCTCATTCTTCTTCTTTTTCATCTTCACTTTCTCTCCTCAACTTTCTCCTCTTTTGACCACCTTATATCTCCCACCACCACCGCCACCACTAACCATCGCCGCAACAACAACACACCAAGACCGACATCAACAAACAACACCGACATCAACATCAACAACAATTTTTGCCTTTTTTGTACTTTCTCTCTCCTCGTGATAAAACCAAAGGTTTTTTTGGTCAAATTCGACCATGAGAACTCTAACTCTAGAGTTTTTATGGTCGAATTTTGCCTCGTAAACCCAATTTCAAGGTTTTATGTGGTCGAATTAAGGTATGTGTCTCGTTTTTTTTTTCTTTTCTTTTTGTTTGTTAGAATTTTTTGAAATATATGTGTTTGTGGTGGCTGTTGGAGTCCAGGTTTTGGAGGTTGGGTTGGGATTTTAATTTTTTTCTTTATTTTTTTTATTCATTTTAGGATTGTGATTGTTTGTTCTGGAGGAGGCGGCGGTAGTTTTAGGTGGGTGGTGGGGTGGTTTGTTGTAGTTCGGTGTAATTTGTTATGGTTGGTGTAGACATCTACTTTTGGCCTCCTATCCCGACAGGAAGTGCAATGACGATAAATAAAGCCATCTTCATGTTGGATCAAAGTGGAGAATACTTATGGATAACTAGTTAAGCCACAAAACACAAAGGACTAGCCCAAATTAAAGAAAAGCCAAAACAAAGGTCCAATTAACTAAACCCGATCATAATTAGGCTAAAGCTCGTGCTTAAACCCTAATAATGACTGATTTAGGAGCGCCTAGGTTAAAACTTAGTGCTGTTGTAGAAAAAGTCGCGCGCATCTCACAAAGTCGCGCTGGGCTGTCGCGCGCAACTATTTCAGTTGCGCGCGACACCCAGCAAAACTTTCTAGAGTTGCACTGCGGAAGATTTGTAATTATTCGGAAATTTTACGGAAAATATAAAATCGAATCTTACCATAAAGCCGCGCGCAAGACCAATAGTTGCGCTGCACATAGCAGCGCAACTCTATAACTTGCGCTGGGTTGCCGCGCGCAACTTCATATGTTGCGCGCGACACTTGCTGCAGAAGAAAGCTCGAAACCCTAAACCCAATCCTTCTCTATAAGTACGAGCTTAAACCGAGGCTTCAATAGACAGAAATTAACCTAAAATTCTGGCGAAATAACTTCTGGCGAAATAACTTGTGAACTTGTGCAACCTAGCCTTCTTGTCCTAAACACTCACCCTTTCGATACTTTGTTACTACGGTGGAGGTTCCCCAACAAGAAGGCGTCCATAAGTGTTCTAAACGGAGATCTAGCAAAGCGAAGTGGTAAATTCCCGAGCACTTAGTTAAATCACCTTTATTTTCTTTGTTTAAAAGGACTTTAATTAATTAATTAGTGTTGTTTGATCACTTTTAATATAAAATAATTAATTAATCAATTCCACATAGTATTTTGAGTTAAATAAAGACTCGAATTGAATTAAATAATTGTTGGTTGATCACTTAAGCCAAGGCGAATCTTGTTTATTTATTGTCCTTTCTCGAATATTATTAAATAAGAATAACGACTTTGCAATGTAATTCCTAAGTGAATTAATGCTTGTAAATAAAATCAACTAACATAGTTTTAGGTATCGCGTTGCATATATTGTTTGGTGATGAAATTATGATAAAGGAAGAGCTAGTAGAGGCCGTACTAGGGCTAGGATGACGATTCCCCTCTAAAAGGAACCTTATCTTAGTACCCTCGCTCCCGAACTCATTTCTGGTTTATAGACCAATTTGGGCATGGGTAAACTTATGATTTGTGTTAATTATTCCATGAACTCCACATGGAAGAAAGGCATGAACGAGGTTTATGAGTTTTTCCTAAAACTCATTGGCGACTCCTACTTGTTTCTTATAAAAAAGGGTGATGATAGAATCAATTCTAATTCAAGGTCCCCCAAACTGTCAGGAATTCAAATCCTACTACACCTTAACAAGTGTAAAGTCCTAGGCTTTTAAGTGACCAAGGGCATTTAAATAGAGTACCCCTTACTATGGGAGCACCCTCCTTACAGTGGCGACTCCACTGGGGACTTAGAGGTTACATGATTAATTCATAGTTATGGTCCAAGGTATCCAACACTAGGTTTCCTATGGGTTGTAACGAGAATTAACTTGGATAATCTCTTAGTTAGAGAGCGAGACTTGAATGTATAATATCTTCCTTTTGCACAAAAGTAAAAACCAAATAAACAACATTGCATCATGCATAAGCATAGCACACTTAAACCATTGGGGATTGGCTCATTGACTAGAGGCCGTACTAGGGCTAGGATGAAGATTCCCCTCTAAAAGGAACCTTATCTTAGTACCCTCGCTCCCGAACTCATTTCTGGTTTATAGACCAATTTGGGCATGGGTAAACTTATGATTTGTGCTAATTATTCCATGAACTCCACATGGAAGAAAGGCATGAACGAGGTTTATGAGTTTTTCCTAAAACTCATTGGCGACTCCTACTTGTTTCTTATAAAAAAGGGTGATGATAGAATCAATTCTAATTCAAGGTCCCCCAAACTGTCAGGAATTCAAATCCTACTACACCTTAACAAGTGTAAAGTCCTAGGCTTTTAAGTGACCAAGGGCATTTAAATAGAGTACCCCTTACGATGAGATCACCCTCCTTACAGTGGCGACTCCACTGGGGACTTAGAGGTTACATGATTAATTCATAGTTATGGTCCAAGGTATCCAACACTAGGTTTCCTATGGGTTGTAACGAGAATTAACTTGGATAATCTCTTAGTTAGAGAGCGAGACTTGAATGTATAATATCTTCCTTTTGCACAAAAGTAAAACAAATAAACAACATTGCATCATGCATAAGCATAGCACACTTAAACCATTGGGGATTGGCTCATTGACTAGGGGTCGCCAACAAAATGTTGGGAGGACGATGTCATGGGTCAACACGTTGAGTGATTGATTTATGCATCGTTTCTTAAGGTATGGTACTGTAGACACCCATTTGTGTCTCCCCAAAACCAAACCCAGTGATGAGTACCTTTCACGTCGAATCATAATCGAATGAAGTGAAAGTGTGGAAAGTCTAGTGTTGCGGATAGTTTTTAATTCTTTTATTTCTCTCTGTTTTTGAAAACCTATTTTAAGAAAACAGCCAATCCAGTTTAGTTTGATCCATGGAAGGAGTCCAATAATAGTGTAGTTGGGCTGGGTTCGAAAAGAGCTTTCCAACGATATATTATAAGCCCAATTCCGATGAATAATGAGGAAGTTATGACTAAATTACTAAACTGGGCCCGGTTTGATCTTTATATGCGGCCCAATGATCTAGAGGAGGGCCTAATATGGATTTATCATTCCTAATGCAATTAGAATTGATTTTAGTCTTCTAGATTCTTCTAGAAGGTTCTTTTCATTCCTAATTCAGTTAGCATTGATAAATTGACTTTGATTGACTTTTTAGAG